TCCAAAAACAAACTGTGAACACCAGGAGTATATCAAACTATACAAAGTTTAATAACATAAAACATAAAACAAAACTACACCAAGCTTTCGTCGGACTCCTTCCGACTTCGTCAGGGTTACGTGCCAGTCCATGAGAGAGTCTCTTTTATACGCCATCCATCATCTGCGCCCGGCTTCTGGACCTCGTCACCGGTCCCAGACTCTCTCATGGACTGGCACGTAACCCTGACGAAGTCGGAAGGAGTCCGACGAAAGCTTGGTGTAGTTTTGTTTTATGTTTTATGTTATTAAACTTTGTATAGTTTGATATACTCCTGATGTTCACAGTTTGTTTTTGGAAAGATGATCACACCCAGGAGTCACTGTTTTAGTTTTAGTGTTATTAGAAATATATATATATATATATATATGTATATGTATATATATATGTATATATATATATATATGTTTTTCAAAATTTGGAATGCTAACAAAGAATTAAGGGAGTACTGAGATAGCTATTTCTAACCTTGTTTGGTTTTCATCAGTCAGACATACCCTTCCGAGATTCGAACCTCTCTCCCATATTTAGGCTGACTTCTCTCTCTCTCCCATATTTAGGCTGACAGGGTGTTCAAAAAGCACTTATATATATATATATATATTAGAGATAACAGTATACCACATAAAATATTACATTAAGGTAAAACCATGGTAAAATTGCTACAATATGGCGCCATATGATGCTTTATTTACTTATATACGTTTATGTATAATGTGTTTTATTAGTGTTTGTACTGAATATCAGTGATTGCATGACCTCTGTAGATTCTATACGACGTACACTAAATAAAAAATAATTAACCTTGGTTTTGGGGAGAGCAGCCAGGGTTTGCTTGCTGTTCCCTGCCCTTAGGTTTAGACTTTGCAAGCTGTGCCTTAGGAGGGAAAAGGCCAGGCTGGGGTTTGGGGGAAGAAAATTTGCACAGTGGAGGTGTTACCAACATCTGTTTGAGTCTCATTGGGCGGAAAGACCCCTGTCTTAAATCTAACAAACAAAATGGAGGCTGGCTGAAGAATTCTGGGAGTTGAAGTCCACAAGTCATAAAAGGGCCAAGTTTGAAGACCCCTGTCTTAAATCTAACAAACAAAATGGAGGCTGGCAGAGGAATTCTGGGAGTTGAAGTCCACAAGTCATAAAAGGGCCAAGTTTGAAGACCCCTGTCTTAAATCTAACAAACAAAATGGAGGCTGGCTGAGTTATTCTGGGAGTTGAAGTCATAAAAGGGCCACGTTTGAAGACCCCTGGTGTGGAGGACTACCCAGATGGTTGGAGAAGGAATACAGCAGCTAGCGAAATTTGAATTAAGCCCGGGAAAGGAGGAAGGTGTTAGAAAGAAACGGAAGGTGGCCCTGATTCTCTTTGGCAGAAGAGGGAGGGAAGTTAAAATGCCCTCCATTTTTCAAGATTCTGTTACCATAGACCAGAGTTGGGCAAATATGATAAGATAACCTTTATTGTCATTTTTTTTTTTACTGTGGGCACAATGGCCCACATCAAAAATGAAATTTAGTTGCCTACTCTCAAAGTGAAACACATACATGACGCACACCTAAACATACTATATACAACATATGTATAGACCCACACCCCTACATATACATAAGAAATAAATATTCAATACTGTTCATATGGTCCCTTTAGGGCCCGTGGACTTCAATTTCCAGAATTCCTGAGTCAGTCATGATTTCCTATTACCTTTTCTTATTGTGATGACATCACTTTGTTGTTTATATGTACACTGGGAATTTACATACAAGACAAATTCCTTGTGTGACCAATCACACTTGGCCACTAAAGAATTCTATTCTAATTTATTTTTTTATAATCCTCTTCCCCCTCCTCCTCCTCCTCCTCCTCCTCTTATCCTATCCTATCCTAATTTATATTTCCGTATTTCTTATTTTCTAACCTGGCTGACACTGAGAGGGATCTGGACTTTCCTACTCCGGTTGGGACCCCCAATAGCACCCCCAATTTTCTTGGGGTGATCTCTGAACTGGCTCCACCATAAGTCAGCTCCATTTATTATTGCCTGTTCACCGCCCTGAGTCCCGTAAGGGAGATAGGGCGGTATATACATTTAAATAATAATTAAATAAATAAATAAATCCCGAATCTTGCCTAAGCTTGGTCCTTGGTGCTCAAGTGAATCTGATCTAGGGTTATAATTTGGGTCCAAGCTCTCAAGGACTTGCATTGAATTAATACTAACCTTTGAAGCTGCATATGGAAAACAAATAGGCAGCTATTTTGATTAGGGAACACTGTGTTTCTATTTCCAAATCCCTGGAGTCGGTTAAGATTTCCATACCTGCACAGGGTTGGTTTTTCATGATGGTGTTAAATTCTCCGGCAACTTTATTTGATTTGACTTTTTTTTTTAAAAAAAATCCCACCTTTATTACTTTATAAATAACTCAAGGCAGAGAACATATGAAAGGCATCTTCCTCCCTGTGAGATGGGGAGGGCTGAGAGGAAATGACTGGCCCAAAGTCTCCCAGCCGGCTTTCATGCCTAAGGCGGGACTAGAACTCCCCGTCTCCTGGTGATTGGCCCAAAGACACCCAGCCGGCTTTCATGCCTAAGGCGGGACTAGAACTCACCGTCTCCTGGTGATTGGCCCAAAGACACCCAGCCGGCTTTCATGCCTAAGGCGGGACTAGAACTCACCGTCTCCTGGTGATTGGCCCAAAGTCGCCCAGCCAGGTTTCATGCCTAAGGCAGGACTAGAACTCACCGTCTAAATATGAGTCAGTTGCCAAGCATCTGAATTTTGATCACGTGACTCTGGGGATGGTGCAGCGGCCATAAGTGTGAAAAATGGTCATGCGTCACCTTTTTTTCAGTGCCGTTGTAACTTCGAACGGTCACTAAACGCGCCGTCGTAAGTCCACCCATAGTTGTTTTCTTCCACACACACACNATATATATATATATATATATTAATATTAGAGAGAGAACAGTATACCACATAAAATATTACATTAAGGTAAAACCATGGTAAAATTGCTATAATATGGCGCCATATGATGCTTTATTTACTTATATACGTTTATGTATAATGTGTTTTATTTGTACTGAATATCAGTGATTGCATGGCCTCTGTAGATTCTATACGGCGTACGCTAAATAAAAAATATTTAAGCTTGGTGTTTGGGAGAGCAGCCAGGGTTTGCTTGCTGTTCCCTGCCCTTAGGTTTAGACTTTGCAAGCTGTGCCTTAGGAGGGAAAAGGCCAGGCTGGGGTTTGGGGGAAGAAAATTTGCACAGTGGCAGTGTTACCAACATCTGTTTGAGTCTCATTGGGCGGAAGGATGTTGGCTTCGCCTTGGTCTTAGGTTGTAGGTATGTTGCTGAAAACAGACGCTAGACCAACTTTGGTATTTGAACCTTATTTTTCTGTAATGGGGATATCCTAAATTTGGGCTTGTAGAAATTTTATAATTCACACTGAATGTTACGCTGGGATAGATAAACCATATGAGGGCTTAAAAGCGTGGCATTCTTTCCTGAATGTGTGCACTGCAGAGGGCGGTAGGGTTTCCTACAGCAAATTAAATCAAAAATTGCCCATCTGTATTTTAGCCCAAACTAGCAGGTGGTTTACCTGTATTCAGAAAGGTTTGAGAATGAAAAACAAAGGAAAAATTTTAAAAAAGCAAAATAATAACAGATAAAGCCCCAAAGTTTTGTTGGTGGTAGGAAATCTGTTTCTTTTAGAAATGTACAGGTAGCTTTCTAGGGAGGACAAAACAATTACAAAGATGTAAGTGAAATATTTCTTGAAGGCAAGACTTTTCCGACAAGAATGTAGAGGAAAAAGAACCTAATGGAGGGGCGGTTAAGAAATCTAAAATGTAAATGAAACCCGCCAGATCTCTTCAGGATTAAGGTTAGGAGCTATCCCATTTATTTTGATTTATATTATTATCTTTGATCCTTCCCTCAGGAACTTAACAGCATACGTAGTACTTCCTCCTTCCTTTTCCCCACAACTGGGGGGGGGGAAGGTTGAGAGATGAATGTAGAGCAGGGGTCTTCAAACTTGGCCCTTTTATGACTTGTGGACTTCAACTCCCAGAATTCACGCTGGCTGAGGAATTCTGGGAGTTGAAGTCCACCAGTCATCAAAGGGCCAAGTTTGAAGACCCCTGTCTTAAATCTAACAAACAAAATGGAGGCTGGCTGAGGAATTCTGGGAGTTGAAGTCCACCAGTCATAAAAGGGCCACGTTTGAAGACCCCTGGTGTGGAGGACTACCCAGATGGTTGGAGAAGGAATACAGCAGCTAGCGAAATTTGAATTAAGCCCGGGAAAGGAGGAAGGTGTTAGAAAGAAACGGAAGGTGGCCCTGCCCTGATTCTTTTTGGCAGAAGAGGGAGGGAAGTTAAAATGCCCTCCATTTTTCAAGATTCTGTTGCCATAGACCAGAGTTGGGCAAATATGATAAGATAACCTTTATTGTCATTTTTTTTTTACTGTGGGCACAATGGCCCACATCAAAAATGAAATTTAGTTGCCCGCTCTCAAAGTGAAACACATACATGACGCACACCTAAACATACTATATACAACATATGTATAGACCCACACCCCTACATGTACATAACAAATAAATAGTCAATACTGTCCACATGGCCCCTTTAGGGCCCGTGGACTTCAATTCCCAGAATTCCTGAGTCAGTCATGATTTCCTATTACCTTCTCTTATTGTGATGACATCACTTTGTTGTGTATATGTACACTGGGAACTTACATACAAGACAAATACCTTGTGTGACCAATCACACTTGGCCAATAAAGAATTCTATTCTAATTTATTTTTTTTGTAATCCTCCTCCTCCTCCCCTTATCCTATCCTAATTTATATTTCTGTATTTCTTATTTTTTAAGCTGGCTGACACAGAGAGGGATCTGGACTTTCCTACTCTGGTTGGGACCCCTTGAGCATAGCATTCCCAATTTTCTTGAGGCGATCTCTGAACTGGCCCCACCATAAGTCAGCTTCATCCCGAATCTCGCCTAAATTCGGTCCTTGGTGCTCAAGTGAATCTGATCTAGGGTTATAATTTGGGTCCAAGCTCTCAAGGACTTGCATTGAATTATTACTTCACCTTTAAAGCTGCACGTGGAAAACAAATAGGCAGCTATTTTGATTATGGAACACTGTGTTCCATAATCCCTGGAGTCAATTAAGATTTCCATACCTGCACAGGGTTGGTTCTTCATGATGGTGTTAAATTCTCCGGCAACTTTATTTGATTTGACTTTTTTTTTTTAAATCCCACCTTTATTACTTTATAAATAACTCAAGGCAGAGAACATATGAAAGACATCTTCCTCCCTGTGAGGTGGGGAGGGCTCAGAGGGAATGACTGGCGGGACTAGAACTCACCGTCTCCTGGTGATTGGCCCAAAGTCGCCCAGCCGGCTTTCATGCCTAAGGCGGGACTAGAACTCTCCGTCTCCTGGTGATTGGCCCAAAGTCACCCAGCCGGCTTTCATGCCTAAGGCGGGACTAGAACTCACCGTCTAAATATGAGTCAGTTGCCAAGCATCTGAATTTTGATCACGTGACTCTGGGGATGGTGCAGCGGCCATAAGTGTGAAAAATGGTCATGCGTCACCTTTTTTTCAGTGCCGTTGTAACTTCGAACGGTCACTAAACGCGCCGTCGTAAGTCCACCCATAGTTGTTTTCTTCCACACACACACACAATGTCGAATTTCCTTAGGACTTTGCAAGAAAGATGTTAGTCTAAAGCAGCATTTCTCAACTTGAAGATGTCTGGACCTCAATTCCCGGAATTCCCTAGCAAGCCATGCCTGGGTTTTTTTTTCCCTTCTCTTACCCAGTAAAGTGGAGAGAACGCAGAGGAAGGGATTACAAGAGAGTATAAAACTATGCTTTGCTGAGAGGTGCAGGACGGAATTAAATGGAATTCTTTTGCGCCAGCCGGAGAATTCACATTTCACCACAGAGAACAAGAGGCCAATTCACGATGCTTGCACCGAAAATAGCAAGACGCCACGATGGTGACTTCTGTCAGCAGTTCAGAGCGTCCCAATTACCTTATTAGACAAAAGTCCTTGTCATTCGCTGAGCGTTCCCGGCTTTAGAAATTTCTCCCAGAGCCCTTGTTTCAACTTCAGATTTTATAAAAAGGACCCAGGAGGAAATTTAGCCAATTCATCTTCACGATCATTTTTTTTCTCTCCCTACGGCTGTCTATTTGATCTGGGCCGCTCTCCAGGGAGAGAGCTATTTGTTAAAAAGCTAATAATGTTGGGAAGTGAATTGGGGGGGGGGTGTCTCTCTCCTGGGAGAGATCACTTGGAGATTCCTAAGCAGGTCAAATCTGAATTAATTCCTTTGGGCAACACAAATGCTTTACAGACTCTTAACTAGAGAGATGGGGGGGGGGAGAGAATGTCCTTTTGCAGATTCCATTTTTCATTTAACTGAATTGTTGTGCTGAGTTGGCCTGCTTAGGCCACCGAGTCCAGTCCCTTACTCCGGGTGTTTTTTTCCATCCTAGCTTCCTTCTGCCCTATTTTTTGCATCAATTCAATTCTTGAAGAATCCTGACTTTGTTGTTGTTAGTCGCGAAGTCGTGTCCGACCCATCGCGACCCCACGGACAACGTTCCTCCAGGCCTTCCTGTCCTCTACCATCTTCTGGAGTCCATTGAAGCTCACACCTCCTGCTTCAGGGACCCCATCCAGCCACTTCATTCTCTGTCATTGTCCCCTTCTTCTCTTGCCCTCCATCTTTCCCAGCATCAGGCTCTTCTCCAGGGAGTCCTTCCTTCTCCTTAGGTGGCCAAAGGACTTGAGTTTCCACTTCAAGATCTGGCCTTCTCAAGAGCAGTCAGGGTGGATCTCCTCTAGGACCGACCGGTTGGATCGCCTTACAGTCCAGGGGACTCGCAGGAGTCTTCTCCAGCACCAGAGTTCAAAGGCCTCCATTCTTTGGCCTTTCTCAGCCTTTCTTATGGTCCAGCTTTTGCAGCCATACGTTGCAACTGGGAAAACCAGGGCCTTGACTATATGTTCTGCACATTTGTGTGGAGCTCTTAGAATAGAAATAGAGCTGGAAGGGACCTTGGAGGTCTTCTAGTCCAGCCCCCTGCTCAACCAGGAGATGGTTTTGCAAGCGGTGTTTAATATTGTTTCTCGGTTTTCCTCTAGAAATTGGCTTTTTGCGCCTTTCCTTAAGATATGCAAGGAGAACAGGATGATGGGCTCTTTGCCTGAGCCACGTCTTCAAGGCCAAACCGCTTGTCTCTTTCGCAGACGATATAATTAAATTGAACAAGAGAGAAGAGAGGAAGCACAATTTCCCCAAGATGAAGAGAGGCCTTCACCAGAACGGGACTCGTCAGTTCAGGATGAGGAGAATGAAGTGGGGAATTCAAGAATATCCAGGTTAGTTGAGTCTGGAATATGGTTTGTTCTCACGGAATCAGGGAGAAACCGTTCAAGGCCTCTGTTTTTTGGCAGCTAAGTGATAACTCCTAATCCTTTCTTTTTCCTTCCTTCCTTCCTTCCTTCCTTCCCTCCCTCCCTCCCTCCCTCTTTCTTTCCTTCTGCCTTTTTCTTTCTTTCTCTTTTTCTCTCTTTCTCTCTGTCTTCCTTCCTTTCTTCCTGCCCTCTTTCCTTCTTTCTTTCCTTCTGTCTCTTTCTTTCTCTTTTTATTTCTTTCTCTTTTTCTGTCTCTTTCTTTCTGTCTCTTTCTTTCTCTCTGTCTTCCTTTCTTCCTGCCCTCTTTCTTTCTTTCTTTCTTTCTTTCTTTCTCTCTCTTTTTCTGTCTCTTTCCTTCTTTCTCTTTCCTTCTCTTTCTCTTTCCTTCTCTCTTTCTTTCTCTTTTTCTTTCTCTTTTTCTGTCTCCTTCTGTCTCTTTCTTTTTCTTTCTTTCTGTCTTTCTTCCTGACCTCCCTCCTGTCTTTCTTTCTTTCTTTCTTTCTTTCTTTCTTTCTTTCTTTCTTTCTTTCTTTCTTTCTTTCTTTCTTTCTTTCTTTCTTTTTTCCTTTCTTTTTCTGTCTCTTTCCTTCTCTTTCCTTTTCTTTCTTTCTCTTTTTCTGTCTCTTTCTTTGTGTCTCTTTCCTTCTGTTTCTCTTTCCTTCTCCGTCTCTCTTTCTCTCTCTCTCTCTCTCTCTTTTCTTTCTCTCTCTCTTTTCTTTCTTTCTTTCTTTCTTTCTTTCCCTTCCAGGCTTTGGCAAGAACCACTTAGGACGTCGGAAGCAGGTGGTGGGGAAGAGGCGTGCCTACGGCATCAAGACGGGCTTGGCGGCCAGGAAAGCCCTGGGGGCTCACAAAGGCATCAGCCCCCTCAACAGATCACCCCTCAGTGAGAAGGTCCTGCCTGGGCTCAATGCAGTTCGGGGGAAGGGAGGAAAGCGGCTTCCGTTTCTTCCCGTCATCCGGCCATGGGATTGCATGCCGGCCAGTTGGGGGAATTCTGGGAGTTGAAGTCCACCCGTCTTAAAATGCCTCAGCTTGAGAAACGTTGGCCCAGTACGGGTAGTCCTCATCCTACGGCCACAATTGAGTTGCCCCAAATTTCAGTTGCTAAGCGAGACCATTGTTAAGTGAGGTTTGCCCCATTTTACGCCCTTTCTTGCCACAGTCGTAAGCGAATCGTTGCAGCTGTTAAATTAGGAACATGGTTGTTAATCACAATCTGGCTTCCCCATTGACTTTGCTTGTCGGAAGGTCACAAAAAGGGGACCACGTGACCACCACTACCCCCCGGGACACTGCGACCGTCATAGATACGAGTCGGTTTGCCGAGTGTCTGAATTTTGATCACGTGACCGAGGGGATGCTACAAGGGGTCCTAAGTCTGAGAAAGCAGTCCCAAGTCCCTTTTTCCAGTGCCGCTGTAAGTTTGAACGGTCACTAAACGAACTGCTGTAAGTAGAGGACCGCCTGTACATTAGATTGAGGCTACCCAGAGCCTGGTGTTAGCCCAGGGGGGTCTCCAAACCCGGCCACTTGGAGACCACCGGACTTCAACTCCCAGAATTCCCTAGCCAGCAGTTTCTCTTTAGAAACTCATTTTAATCCTCGGAAGTTTATTTTCCTGCTTGATCTCCAGGCTTCTCTCCTAGGATGGGATCTAGCTCCGGGTCTAACCTCTGGATCTTACGATCCGCTTCTCTGTTTAGTTTGGGGCTGGAGGGGGCTTTGGTCTTGTTTTGTTTTGCTGGATGTGCACGGGACTGGCTTTGGGTGTCTTCCCTAAAGACCCTGCAACGGAATTACTCCGTTTTGAAAAGGAAGACGCCCGTCCAGAGACAATCCGAACTACAGAGGAAGCAAGGACCCTGGCTTCGGAGACCCGCCTTGGTAAACCGAAGGTAAGCGTTCGGAGAGGCTCCCTTGAAGCTTGGACTCAGGGGAAGCCTCCAGGCATACCAGGAACGGGATCGCTTACAGGGGTTACGGCCGCCGCCGAGCCCAAGGGTTCTGTTGCTAAGCGAAGCGGTTGTTAAATGAGTTTTGCCCCCCTCTTACCAACGTCCTTGCCCCAGTTGTTCAGCGAATCGCCGCTGTAACTGGAAGCATCTCCCTCTCCCCCTCCCTCCGAAATTGCCGATTGTCCACTGGAATCGGCTTCAGTGACTCACTTAACAACCGTGGCAAGAAAGGTCGTAAAAGGGGGCAAAAAAGCACTTTACAACTTATCTCACTTAGTGGCAAAAGTTTTGGGCTCGGTTGTCATAAACAGAGGACTGTCTGCATTCCGTTCAAACCTTGCCCATAATCTTTGCAGGATTTTTGCCACTTGGTGTACCTGGCTGTATAATTATCTATCTATCTATCTATCTATCTATCTATCTATCTATCTATCTATCTATCTATCTATCTATCTATCTACCATCTATCTATCATCTATCTATCTATCTATCCTTATCTATCTATCTATCTATCTATCTATTTATCTATCATCTATCATATCTCTCTCTCTATATATAGAGAGAGATACATAGAGATAGATATCTATAGAGATATATATAAATAGATATCTATAGAATATATATCTATATATATCTATATATTATAGGGAGGGAGGGAGGGAGGGAGAGAGAGAGAATCAGCATTCGCTGATAGTCCACTTGAATCTGCTGGTCTTTATTTCTCTATCTGATAAATCTTTAGATTGTGACTTCTTCGATCCAGGGATTTATTTATTTATTTATTTATTTATTGAATTTATATCCCGCCCTTCTTGCGGACTCAGGGCGGCTGACAATCGATTTAAAAAACATAAATAACAATTACAGAGTTAAAATTAATTAAGAAGAAATATTTAAATTTAGTCTAATTAAAATATAATTAAAACCCCTCTAAAAATTGCCCTAGGCCAGTCCCGCTTGTTGGAATAGCCATGTCTTAAGGGCGCGGCGGAAGGAAGGGAGATCAGGGATCACCCTGATCTCTGGGGGCAGCTCATTCCAGAGGGTGGGAGCTCCCACAGAGAAGGCCCTCCCCCTTGGGGTCGCCAGCCGGCACTGTCTGGCCGACGGCACCCTGAGGAGACCCACCCTGTGGGAGCGTACAGGCCGATGGGAGGTAATCTGTGGCAGGAGGCGGTCTCGAAGGTATCCCGGTCCGCTGCCATGGAGCGCCTTAAAGATGATAGTCAGCACCTTGAAGCGCACCCGGAAGGCCACCGGCAGCCAGTGCAGCTCGCGCAGCAGCGGCGTTACGATGTCACTCTGTAACAATGCAGGTAGTCCTCAACATACGACCACAATTCGGAATGGAACGTTTGTGGACTTCAGCTCCCAGAATTCCTGAGCCAGCCACGTTGAGGGGAAAGGGAGAGGTTTCCAAGCTGAGCCAGGCTGGCTCAGGAATTCTGGGAGTTGAAGTCCACGAGTCATGAGGGGGCCAAGGTTGCCTACCCCTCTGCAGTAAATGATGCAAGGACATATGGCTATGATTATTTGCTATATTTACAGGACGAGCATCCAGTCTCTGTCCGCCAGAATTGGGAATAAGTTATACCAGCAGAAAGATACGCGCCAAGCGACTTTCCTCTTTCGCCGGGGCCTGAAGGTATTTATATATCTGCATTTCTCTACCGGAAGCACCTGTCTATCAAGGGCAGGGGTAGGCAACCTCAGCTCTTTTATGAGACTCGTGGACTTCAACTCCCAGAATTCCTGAGCCAGCCGTGCTGAGGGGAAAGGGAGAGGTTTGCAAGCTGAGCCATGCTGGCTCAGGAATTCTGGGAGTTGAAGTCCACGAGTCATAAAAGAGCCGAGGTTGCCTACCCCTGCTCTAGGGGAAGGCAGGATATCCGTTCAATGGACTAAGTGTCTCCTAAAGATCTGCTGCTCTTCTGCAGATCTTAAAACAAGGGTCTTCAAACTTGGCCCTTTGATGACTGGTGGACTTCAACTCCCAGAATTCCTCAGCCAGCCTCCATTTTGTTTGTTAGATTTAAGACAGGGGTCTTCAAACTTGGCCCTTTTATGACTGGTGGACTTCAACTCCCAGAATTCCTCAGCCAGGCGTGCCTGGCTGAGGAATTCTGGGAGTTGAAGTCCACCAGTCATCAAAGGGCCAAGTTTGAAGACCCCTGCCTTAAAATCTTGTCACTCAGTTTGGTTTCCGTTGGGGGCGTTTTCCTGAGGGGGAGCCTAGCTTTGAGGCCTTTTGTTACCCCACTAGGTAACATCATCAGTGCTAGAAGGGAGAGGGGTTTGCTGAGCTTGGTTGTTTTGCTGCAGACGTTTCACTAACCAACTAGGTTACATCATCAGTGCTGGAAGGGAGAAGGGTTTGCTCTCTGCTTATACCCAAGTGGCTTGGCCTTGGAATTTCCTTGGTTAGGCTGTTGATTATGTTAACTTGTTTATCTGAGATGGTGGTTGGTTCATTGGATTATTATTTACTTCTTGACTGTTGCCTTAGCATTAATCTTGGTGCTAGTCCCTGTTGATTGCTGGTGAGATAGTAAACTCCACTCGGTTCTAGCACTGATGATGTTACCTAATTTGGTAATGAAATGTGAGCAGGAAAACAATCAAGTTTAGAGAGCACCAGATTCTTCTTCTTCCTCCTCCTCCTCCTCCTCCTCCTCCTCCTCCTCCTCCTCCTCCTCCTCCTCCCCACACACCCACCCTCCCTTTTTAGCACTGATGATGTTACCTAGTAGGGTCGTTAAATGTCCGCCAGAAAAACACTAAGCTCAGAGAGCACCAAGGACCCTACCTGTGGATACCCTTGTGGGGTATAATTATAGGGGTAGAAATATGAAAAATGAATTCTAGAAGCTTTCACAAAAGCCCATAAGCATCTAGGAGAGCATTTCTCAAGCCTAGAATTTTTACGATCTGTGGGCTGCAAATCCCAGAATTTCCCCAGCCAGCCCTGCCAAGGTTGAGAAACACCGATGGAGCAAATAGGAGGACTGTCCTGGTTCCGACAGATGAAACTCTTCGAAAGAACGTGAAGGCGTTGTTTACCTTAAAGGATCTTTTATTCGAGTAGCAGAATATCGGCACTGCATAATCGAAGCCAAAAACTGAATTCCCCTCCCCTGGGCACATAGTATCAAAAGCACAATTCCCTCCTCCAATTAACAGCCATAAATCACATTTCCCAATTAGCTTGAAGCATGGGCTTCCTCTCCAGCCCTGCAATTCTATCAGCTCTGATTTCAATAACCTTGATTCTCATGCTAGGTTTAGTGTTGTTATGTCTAGCTGGACTCTCATTCAAATCCCCCCTGCCAGCATCATCTAACTCTAAAAGTGGAAGGGAAAAAGATGGCTCCATTTCCATCTGTTGTCAATGCAGAACATCCGACGTTAGGAGCGTTGACAAGGACTTCTTCTAGCTGTAGGAAGTAGAAGTAGAAATCCCAGACTTTTAATTTTCCTTGCATGTTTCACCTGGCTAGCTTGCTACCCATAGGTATCTGATTTTTCCCCCCTTTTTTTCCCTTTTCCTCATCCCCAGGTACAAGCACAAGTCCATCCGGAGGATGACCTCAGAAGCCAGGGAACCAAACGGACCCGTCCGTAGGTATTCCAAAGAAATTGACCGAGCAATCGCCAAGTCGTACCCCGTTTTCTTTTGGAGGACGTATCTCAATTCTGTATTTTTTTTTTTAAAGGACCGCGGGTGGGTTTTTTTTGTTCTTGCAAACTCATCCAGAAAAATGCAGCATGGGAATTCAGTTGGATCAGAAAGAGGAGCTGGTGGCCGCTGGAGACACGAGTGGGATTAAATAAGAGATCACTTTGATTATGTACCGGGAGTCCTCCACTTACGACCACGATGGAGCCCAACATTTCTATCGGCCTCCATTGTGGTCGTAACTGAGGACTACCTGTAAACCTTGTTTATGAAAATAGTTTGCTATACAGGTAGTCCTCAAGTTACGGCCAAAATTGAGCCCAAAATTGACGTTGCTAAGCGAAATGTTTGTTCAGTGAGTTTTGCCCTGTTTTACGACCTTTCTCGCCACCGTTGTTAAATGAATCGCTGCAGTTGTGAAGTCAGTAACCCGGTGGTTAAGCGAATCCAGCTTCCTCCCGTTGACTTTGCTGGTCAGAAGTCGCAAAAGAGGATCGCGTGACCCCCGGGGACTCTGCGACCGTCATAAATAGGAGCCAAGTTACTAAGCAGCTGGATTTTGATCACGTGACCACGGGGAGGCTGCGACGGTCGTAAGTGTGAATAAGGATCCTCCTAAGTCACTTTTTTCAGTGCTGTTGTAACTTTGGTCGCTGAATGAATGGGTTGTAAGTCGAGGATTACGTATAATTTGGTATAATTTACTGAAAAGAAATAGCCTCGGAAGTCCTGAGGTCAGTGATTTGAAAGCTGATTTCCAGCATCATCAATGTAAACCCATGCAGGGATATCAACAGCAATAGCGCTTAGACTTGTATACCGCTTCACAGGGCTTTACAGCCCTCTCAGTGGTTTACAATGTCAGCCTATGGCCCCCAACAATCTGGGTCCTCATTTTACCGACTTCGGAAGGCTGGACGGCTGAGCCAACCTTGAGCCGGGGTCAGGATCGAACTTCATGGCAAGTGAGCAGTGAGTCAGCCTGCAATTCCGCACTCTAACCACAGCGCCACCACGATTCTCCCCGATATAGCTGTGAATTATGCAGTTTATCCAGTGTCTTCTGTATTGTTATGATTTATAGCAGTGGGGTCTGTGTGATATGTCACGAATTTCCTGCAAATAACTTTGGAATTAAATAAGTTACGCTTTCCATGCAGATGGCGAACGTCTACCAGAAATGGAGGGATTTTGACCATCTCCATTGACAATCCTGGTGCTGTTCTCTCTCCAATGTGAGTAAAACTGAAGAATCAGGACCACACGTTAGATTCTAGTTCAGCTGATTTGTGGCTTATGCTTATACCCAAGATTCTAGTCGGCTAGCGGTCAGTGCTAAATTAGAATAACAAGAGTTGGAAGAGACCATGGAGGTCTTCCAGTCCAACCCCATGCAACACCATTTCGGAGAAATGGCTGCCCAATCTCTTCTTAAAAACCTCCAGGGATGGATTACATAAAAGTTAATGGAATTGAAGAGAGGTTGGACCGCTTGTGGGAACGTAACGATTCCAGGCTGGTTCCTCACTTGACTGCAACCCCGGTCCCTGCCTGTCCTTCTACAAAAGGACACTTTTATTTCCCATTTAGCATATCCCGTAGAGGCTTAGTTGCAAAGGTATTTGTGGGTTGATGAAATTAACCATCATCCAAACCAGGTTTTCTCAGCATGGTGCTCCTATGTAGGATTTCCAGCTCTGCAGTCCTCCCATCAGATGTCCCAAACTGAAGACAGTTCTTTCCCAGCTCAATTCTCATAGACATTTAGCAAGAGTTATTGAAAAATTCAACTTGGATGGTGTTCAGCCACTGTCTTTTTAGAGGCCTGGTTTCCTTTTACCACTAATTCTTCCCAGGATAACTGCTTTCTACAGTGAATTCTCCCGCACGACGGGGCCAAAGCAAGTGAGACGCAGTTTTGTGATTTTTTT